TGCACTGACTGCCAGTGCAGGTGAACCGCCATATATTTTATCATCTAATTTGGACCCATAGTATGTATTGCATAGGAAAGGCATAGCAGTGTACGCTTTAACGCTCCATCAGTTCAATAAGTTCTGTTACTAATGCATGGTTTGAATGCATTCTCGCATCTCTCTCTCTCTCTCTCTCTCTCTCTCTCATTATTTCTGTGGTTTTCTATTTATTAAATTTAAAAAAATTCGATTACATTTTGCTTCAAATATCAATTGATAAAAATATTATTTATATTAGTGTCTGTTTTAATACAATATATCGTATATTATATGTTGTAAATCATCTCTTATTTTTCAACTAAAGAATATTCTTTAAATCTAAAAATTATTGAGAGAAACATAACTAAACTGAAACGACTTATTAAACGTCATGCTATTGCACGAGAGAGAGAGAGAGAGAGAGAGAGAGAGAGAGAGAGTTTGGCGAAAAATCGAAAGAAATGTTTTGGGAGTTTGAATGATGAAAAAAGAGTCAAAGTATAAATGTAAGGCTCGGATATACAGTACAGTTGTATAGCATCTATGAAATGATGGAATAAGTCTTAACCAATATTTTCGACGAGTTTTGGGCATAAATTGAAAGCATGACTGATTCGGACCACCTGTGACTGCCGTAGACTACAGACGTGACTGACGGTCACGTCCACTTGGCGGTATATAAAATAGTAGATTAAACCTGGGTATCATACATAACGTATCCTTTCCGTATCGTCACATGCGAAATTGCGAGGTAGTCAAGTTATTCAAGACAAACTAATGCATGGTTTGAATGCATTCTCGCATCTCTCTCTCTCTCTCTCTCTCTCTCTCTCTCTCTCCATAGAGTCAGTACTGGACTGAAAACATACTGTCCTCTCAGTGTGTGTAGTGAAACACACGGTTAGTATCCGTTTAGGAAACAGAGCATTCAATTACATGCTTTGATTCACATTCTCTTTGAGCACAACAGAGGAGCGAAAAAATATATTTCAGCCTTTTGTGAGCCTTTGCTTTGAGTTTTACGCTTAATTCACAGCTAAAGACAAAAAATCTCTTTTCGGTAGAGTTTGCCGTTAATATTAAAGGTATTATAAAATTGCCACAAATATTGCATACAAAACAGCGTACAATCTCTCATAATGTAAACTCTATTATGTATTTTTAACCAAATATTAAGATAATTTAAAATGATTTTGTTTTTTATGTGAATAGTTATGTATTAAATGAAAAGACTTACTTATCATAATCTGATTTACAGTAGAGTTTTCTATCTCTTATATAACAAGTTTGTGTTAAAAGTATTTGACAAACAGTGCACTGAAGGCAGGACTCATGCCATGAGTGATCCATTACTCGCATAATATAACGATCAGATATCGGGCGCTGACATCCGCAACACATCTCTGTGTTGATCGTCGTGTCCGTCGATAATGAGATCATATTTGTATTATTATTATTATTATTACTATTTTGTGAGCCCTTCTTCTGCTTCTTATTTGGGCCTAAATTATATTCAAAGAAAATACTTTTTATTAATTAATATCGCAATAAAATAATACATTATTTTTGTCATCATTTAAAATATAATGGACTAATTGTTATTACAATTGTATATGGATCCCAATATTTAATTGTATATTTAAGTTTACTATTTGTATCAAATGTTTGCACAGAATAAACGTTAGAGAATAAGTGTCAGAATATTGTTTAGATCTAATTATAAAATTACAATTATAAAAGCAAAAAATGCTTTCATACATAAAGTGGTGTTTTATTTACTAAACATTATTTAATAGCAAACCAGAAATGCTAAATACAGTACTCGACGACAAATTAATTTACTTATAATAGAATTGAAATGTAAATCATATAAATACTAGTTATATCTCAATAAAACACTATTCAACACTATATAGCAGAATGAGGTCACAAAACATACACAAAAACATGACCAAAATATATCCATGAGTGATCCATTACTCGCATAATATAACGATCAGATATCGGGCGCTGACATCCGCAACACATCTCTGTGTTGATCGTCGTGTCCGTCGATAATGAGATCATATTTGTATTATTATTATTATTACTATTTTGTGAACCTTTCTTCTGCTTCTTATTTGGGCCTAAATTATGTTCAAAGAAAGTACTTTTTATTAATTAATATCGCAATAAAATAGTACATTATTTTGTCATCATTTAAAATATAATGGATTAATTGTTATTATATGGATCCCAATATTTAATTGTATATTTAAGTTGACTATTTGTCTCAAATGTTTAACAGAATAAACGTTAGAGAATAAGTGTCAGAATATTGTTTAGATCTAATTATAAAATTACAATTATAAAAGCAAAAATCTAAATGCATTCATACATAAAGTGGTGTTTTATTTACTAAACATTATTTAATAGCAAACCAGAAATGCTAAATACAGTACTCGACGACAAACTAATTTACTTATAATAGAATTGAAATGTAAATCATATAAATACTAGTTATATCTCAATAAAACACTATTCAACACTATATAGCAGAATGAGGTCACAAAACATACACAAAAACATGACCAAAATATATGATTACAATATAATAGTTAATAATTTGTTATCAAAATTTCCCACAATTATCATCAGTGAGAGTGTGAGTAGTTGTGGGAAACTTTCGCTAAACTCAAGTATCGTCACAAAATCTCTGGCGTTTTTTTCGGTGACATTTTTCAAGAGATTCTTCGCCATTGAGTGATGAGAATGGAGTGAAGAATAAAAATGAATATATGAAAGGCTCATAAGTGCGGCCCAACACTACATACACACCATAACTACGATAAGAGGGCTGTGGAGTGTTGGCCACAACACTATTGCCTGTTTAAAAGGTGTGAAGTGTTTAAGTGGACACTCGCTCTCTATGGGCACACATACAGTGTGTTGAGGCACTCGAGTGTCGCACCAGAAGCTATTGTTATCAGTGCTGTGGCAGTGATTTACTTTTTTTCTTCCATTCAATACAAATTCATACTTTATTTTTTGTGCTAAACTATTACCACTAAATAATATACAATATTCTATAAGATTTTAAAATCTATATTTTAACAAAACAAAAATTGTTTGATTGTTAGACACACACACTCTCCACATGACTCGTGTGCCGTAAGTCTCTTCACTCCGGACTTATTTCTCACCATAAAGTGTATTGAATGTGATTTTAAACATAAAATAATAATCGTTTTTACAAATTCATTGATAAACATAACAAAAACTACATTACAAACCATTTGCTAAGTATTTGTGGGACACATGTATGTCAATGCTCTCAATGATAGTTAAGAATAGAAAGGGAGGGAGAGAGGGAAAGAGAGGGAGAGAGAGAGAGAGAGAGAGAGAGAGAGAGAAACTTTAAAATATGAATTTAACTATTTTATACTGTATAAGAAATACAAAATACTGTAACATAAACATAAATAAAAAGTGTGTTTTCTGTTAAGCATTTTACCTAAAAATCACATTTATAACTAATTACAGTATAAATCGGTATTATTTGGATTGAATACATACTATTGTTTGCAACGATTGTTTGATCGCACATCTCCTCATCCATTGAGTCCATATCACAACTGCTTTTACGACAACTTCTTTGCTCCGGTATATCAAAAACGATGGTATTGTTTGGCTGCCCGGCTGTGGGCGCCTTACGCTTGTTTTGCTTCGCCAGAGTGCTGTCCGAACACCGCTTGGAAACTAATTTTCTCGTTTTGCTTCTCAACAGTATCTTTCAATTGTCTGTATATTTAGAAAGTAATGTCTGTTTTCATATGTGTTTCTAAATCAATACATATCTTAATTTTTAAGCCACAATACAATGCCTTGTATTTGGTTTTACAGTATATTTTTAGACAATTCGTGTCAATAAAACTACAAATCTTTGAAAAAGTATTTGTTAAGCAAATCTTCAATTAAGCAGAAAATGGTCATAAAAATAAACAAAAACCGCAGACAATAATCGGCGACAATAAAAGACTTACCCGAATGTGGGGAAGAGAGTGAGAGTGAGAAGACAGAGAGAGCACTGGTATATAATAATGTGGTTTTATTTGTAGCAAAAAAGTGATGTCAAGAATAATAAGAAAAGCGCACAAAAATCAAGAAAACACAATACAAGTGATGAATACGATTGCTATGAAATCGAGTGTTGTTTTTAGGGCCGCAACTAATAAATGATTAAAAGCCATAAAAACAACTCGTTTTAATCAATTAATTACAATATAAACGTCTGGGCTATTAGTCAAAAATATTTGTGTGCCTCACTTGTAGCTCATGGGCTCTCAATGTATGTATTGGTACGGTATGTGCGTTAAGGCAAAGTGCCATTTCGGGGCTCAAATACATACAACACTGCCATAGCATCCATACATAGCATCCATAGTATAGGTTGTCTATTGAGGCCGTGTTTAGGCTGTGATGGCTTTGCTGTGGGGAACGGGCGGCGCATTCGCTGCCAGTTTCCCATTCACTCATCCAATCGTTGCCACTCTTTCACTGCCCGACCGATCGATAAATGGGTTTGGCTTTCGATCGCAACCAAAGGAATGCCTGTCTCTCTGTCTCTCCAGAATATTTGCCTCACTTTTGCAATAATATGTGACACACTATGAATGGCCAGACATTACTTTCCATCTAATTATCCATTTATTTCCACTCAAATCATCTCTTTTTCTCTATCTCTTCCCAAACCGTTTGTATTCTTCTGTTTTGTGTTTTTATTTCGTTTCTCTTATTATTTTCTTTCATTATTTACTATTTTTAAGTATTAATAGATATAATAGTAAACAACGTTTCAAGAATTTTTGTAATTAAATTCTTATAATTTTATTTTATTGTTTGATTCTCACGTCGAAATTTATTTTATGGTAAATTTGTTTATAATTTTTATGAATTATTTGTTTCATTATCATAAATACTTTGCCTATTGTTTGCCAAAGTATTAGTGTCCGTGTTTAGGCTGTGATGGCTTTGCTGTGGGGAACGGGCGGCGCATTCGCTGCCAGTTTCCCATTCACTCATCCAATCGTTGCCACTCTTTCACTGCCCGACCGATCGATAAATGGGTTTGGCTTTTGATCGCAACCAAAGGAATGCCTGTCTCTCCAGAATATTTGCCTCACTTTTGCAATAATATGTGACACACTATGAATGGCCAGACATTACTTTCCATCTAATTATCCATTTATTTCCACTCAAATCATCTCTTTTTCTCTCTATCTCTTCCCAAACCGTTTGTATTCTTCTGTTTTGTGTTTTTATTTCGTTTCTCTTATTATTTTCTTTCATTATTTACTATTTTTAAGTATTAATAGATAGTAAACAACATTTCAAGAATTTTCGTAATTAAATTCTTATAATTTTATTTTATTGTTTGATTCTCACGTCGAAATTTATTTTATGGTAAATTTGTTTATAATTTTTATGAATTATTTGTTTCATTATCATAAATACTTTGCCTATTGTTTGCCAAAGTATTAGTGCTAACCAAACATAGAGGCCATTAAATAGCAGGGGAGTGGAGGACGAGGTATCACCATATGATCCTTTCAGAGCATATAAATGCAACCAAACAGTTATAATGTTGTCATTATAAACACCCCATTATCTGTTACATTGTATAAAATACTGTATATTAAATACATTTATTAAATTTTGTTTATATTTTTGGTATAATTTTTTTTATTAGTTTATCTAAAATATAAATTTGATTTAAATAATAGTAATTTTATGAGTAATTATATGTACAGAACATTATTGGCAAACCTATTGAATATGTGCTGAACGTATGCCAGAATTGTTAGGCAAACCAAATAAATAAGTTTCAACAATAGATCACATTTAATCGACATTTCTATAGCAGTTAACTAATACCCGGCGATACACGAGACTCACAAATCGCACAGACATTAGTCTCTCTCTCTCTCTCTCTCTCTCTCTCTCTCTCTCTCGACAATAGGGTTTTTTGAATGCGAAAAACCGAATGAGAAAAACGAGTTTTTGTTGCAAAATATATATAATTTTATTTTATTGTTTGATTCTCACGTCGAAATTTATTTTATGGTAAATTTGTTTATAATTTTTATGAATTATTTGTTTCATTATCATAAATACTTTGCCTATTGTTTGCCAAAGTATTAGTGTTAACCAAACATAGAGGCCATTAAATAGCAGGGGAGTGGAGGACGAGGTATCACCATATGATCCTTTCAGAGCATATAAATGCAACCAAACAGTTATAATGTTGTCATTATAAACACCCCATTATTTGTTACATTGTATGAAATATTGTATATTAAATACATTTATTAAATATTGTTTATATTTTTGGTATAATTTTTTTTATTAGTTTAACTAAAATATAAATTTGATTTAAATAATAGTAATTTTATGAGTAATTATATGTACAGAACATTATTGGCAAACCTATTGAATATGTGCTGAACGTATGCCAGGATTGTTAGGCAAACCAAATAAATAAGTTTCAACAATAGATCACATTTAATCGACATTTCTATAGCAGTTAACTAATACCCGGCGATATACGAGACTCACAAATCGCACAGACATTAGACTCTCTCTCTCTCTCTCTCTCTCTCTCTCTCTCGTATTAGTGATGAGCGTTAGAGGCCTGTCGTCACAACAAATTAAAATTCTCGCGAATTAACCGGAAAAGTATCTCTGACTTTATTGTCTGTCATATATATTGGTTTCTGTCTCTGGAAAGGCATAGCAAACAGTGATAGCGATGCCATTGATGGCCAAAACTATATGCAAACACGTGTTCATTGTATTGGAAAAGTGAGTGTGAAATAAGTCTTGGATGACCTGAGCGTCCATATTGTCGTGTAGTGTGTTGTGCGGCGCTTGCGGTTAATTCTCTATATTATTGTCGTCTATCACACACTCTCGTCCGTATCCATACATACAGTGTACCCGACGTATGGCACATACAACCAGTGCTTAGTGTCTGTCCCCTCAATATATCGAGAGTGAATGAGATTCAATAGTAAGCCTTACGCACGCCTTTCATCGCACAATTTTATTGAATTGTTAGGCGTTTTATATAATGAAAACTTACGATTTCACACGCATTTCAAAAATTGTAACACAAAACAGATATAAAGGGCACTGAATTGGAGTCTCATCTCCATCTCCTCCCACTCCCACTCTCGCACTCACTTTCATAGCCTCTCTCTCACTCTCTCATAGACTGCGGGGCATCTCTTTTGCCTTCAAATAGAGACCATTAGATACGTGAGAAGATGACGTTCCTCTCGGATCACTGTCTATGCAATTGCTTTACACATCAATGTTCTCCCATTCATAGGGGGAAAGTGACCGATACCTAAACGTAATAACAGTCAGTTATTACCCTTAATCAGCTGTCATAAAAGTACAGTAGAGAGAGAAGGAAAAGAGAGTAAGTTACGAATTATAATAAACGTATTACAAAACGGTTTATACATACACTTTGAAAAGGCATTTGTATGGTTTGATTGCTATTTAAATTCATCATTTGTCTGATAGACTAGAATTTCCATTATATATATTTTTTATTCGTTCACCAATTGGTTTGATGTGAGAAATAGTGATTTTTAAATTGCAAAAAAATGACTTTTACGTAAAAATCTATCGGCGATTATCCGCATTAAATATATATTCATTTGTTTATATTAAGGATTAATTGGGATTAATGACAAATTTGAACAGATATAGTGTTATAATCAGATTTATTCACTAAATTCGTGATAAAGTTTAAGGAGAGCACAGAATTGCCAAACTTATCATATCTATTGTGTAATTGTTTTTCGTCACAACACTATTATATGCATTGATTATCAATACTTTGCGTTGAATACCGTTTAGAGTTTGCAGAGACTATTGGTTTGCATATAGAGTGCAGAGTATTGTGGATTGTGAACTGCTCTTAACTCAGTGAAAACCCATTTATATACCTTTATTATACTCCTTTCTCTAATTATACTTCATTACCAAAGGTTTGCGATCATTTAGGGAAGTATAGATGTGTTGTGATGTGTTAACATACGTCTATCCATTTGTTAGTGACTCTAATTCAACAAAAATATGACTATTATTTATAATATGTATTAAACGATAAACTAACCATTTTGTATCATGGTAACCATTAACGTACACAACTAGATTAATTTTTTAAATCCGTAAATACAATTTATCAATGTTAACATAAATGCTATTTTCTACGGCATCTTCAATACTATACATTATCAATAATAATTAATTAATTGATAATAGTTAACAAGTTTTTAGTGAAATATCATAAATTGTTATATTGTTACATTGTGTTATAATGTAATATAATATATAACAATTTAACATTTACTATAACAATTTAAAATCCAGACCTTATTGTGAAAATAATAATTTTTATATAAATCTTGCTTTGTCTGTTATGTTAACAATATGGTGAATATTTTTGAATACATTTAATATAAAGTTAAGTATCGTTCGTTAAATATCTACCTTTTATAATTAATTTAATTTTGTACCATATTTTGTATCAGAATTGAAACAATTAGTGAAATACAGTATAACATGAATAATAAATTCAAAAAGTGGCGCTTTTGATCACTTTTGGGACAATTGTGTCAATAATTGGTTATAAATTGTTGACGTGTTATATGAATGGTTGAGTCAACTCAACAACACATCCATTCAATCGCCACAACAGCTGTTTGTGTCACATCTGATCCCATTGTGATTGTGACCACCGATTGTCTCATTGCATGCATTCCCGCACAATCTCTGCGCACATCAGCTCCGCATCTGATCCACTCGTTTGCCGTCCGTTTGTCTTCAGGAGCGACACAAACGTCACGTTTAAATGCCATTCAATTTGTGTTGACATTTGTTTATGAGTTTTGTTTATCATTTCGCGGATCAACTGATTTTCTGAAGACATGTTTTCGGCGCTCAAGCGGTTAGTGTCCCATCAAAACGATGGTCACATGAAGTCGTCGCCAACTGATCCGGCCATTCATCGGTCACCGCACGGCTGCTCACCGATGGATCAGTTGCTGCAGAAGAAGTTCGCCAAAGGAGTCCAATATAACAGTAATTTATATCAAACTATCAGTTGGTCTCAAATTAAATGCCATTTTGTGTCCATTTTAGTGAAGATTATCATCAAAGGGGACCGAAATGTGGGCAAATCTTCGCTGTTTTTGCGATTACAAGGACTGCCATTCAAAGAGGATTACGTGCCCACCGATGAGATACAGGTTTGACTTAAACCAAGCGTTGGATGTGTTAGTTGTTGTGCCAAACGGTCTAATGATTGTCATTGTATTTGACATGAATCCGATGGTCAGGTGGCGAGCATTCAGTGGAACTATAAGGCGACCGACGATGTGGTGAAGGTTGAGATCTGGGATGTGGTCGATAAGGGCAAGAAGACCAAGAAATTGGATGGACTCAAGTTGGACAACAAGCTGTCGGCGGCCGCAGCGGCCGCACCCGTTGTGCCCGAAGAGGATCAGCCGGCGCTCGACGCAGAGTTTGTGGACGTCTATAAGAACACGAATGGTGTGATTCTGATGATGGATATGACCAAACAGTGGACGTTTGATTACGTGCAGCGAGAGTTGGCTAAAATGCCCAAAAACATACCGGTGCTCGTGTTGGCCAATCACCGCGATATGGGTCACCATCGAGTGGTGAGCGAAGATCAAGTGAAGGGTTTCATCGAGAGTATTGTGGAGGCAAATGGTGGTGATGTCGGCGATTGTGAGCGTCAGATACGATACTCGGAGTCGTCGATGAGGAATGGTTTTGGTCTCAAGTTTTTGCATAAGTTCTTCAATTTGCCATTTCTTCACTTACAACGAGAGACTCTATTGAGACAATTGGAGACTAATCTCAACGAAATGCAAACCACTTGCGAAGAACTGGATTCGTTGCAGGACTCGGACGACCAAAACTATGATCTGTTTTTGGATTTGTTGACAAATAGGAGGCGACAGATCGCCGACCAATTGTCTAAACCTAAAGAGCCATCTAATGGTGTGGTTCCGCCTCAACCGCCCAGAAGTAAGTCAATGCCTATGAATTTAAACACCAAACCACACGTGAATGGCGCCAATAGTATGGAACCGGTTGTGAAGCCGACGCCAAGTATTATAATCGGCGCCAATAATCCACTTCCGGCCAAATTCGCGGTCAATAACTCATCAAATTGTGTGCAAAATAACACTTTGTTAAGCAATAAGAATATTAGCAATACTTTTCAAAGTGTGGACGAATTCATTCCCGACGACGAGCGCTCGTCATTCAAACAGTTTCTCGAAGAACCGCTCAATAATGCCAACAGTGCTCACAATGACGTCAAATACGATGACACCGATAGGTATAGACATTCAATTGTTAATTTGTCATCGATTTAATGTTTTGTCATTTATAATAGTGATAACGATATGATTGCAAACAATCCAATGGTTGCTAAATACCAGGAAGAACTTGATCCCGAAGACCAGGACAATGATTCTCATAACGAAATGAGTAAATCCACTATCGATGACATTATTCAAGAGTCAAACAACGCGGCCGCGGATCAGGAGAATGATATCGAGAAAACATTGACTGAAACTAAGCACACGTTTATCTCAAACACTATATTCCCTATGAATTCACTAAACAGTAGTGGCATCTCATCGCCGGTCGACAATCACTATACGCCTGTAGTCAACAATAGCCGAAACACATCCGCCTCGACGGCTAGCACACGTTTATCTCAAACACTATATTCCCTATGAATTCACTAAACAGTAGTGGCATCTCATCGCCGGTCGACAATCACTATACGCCTGTAGTCAACAATAGCCGAAACACATCCGCCTCGACGGCTAGTTTGTCCGCATTCACCACTCAGTCAACGGCGACGCCTACCAGTGTTGACACGTCCGAAATGGGCAGCGAATCCGGTTCTGTAAACACCAAAACACATCACAAAACCCAAAAAACCAAAACTAAAACCAAAAAGAAGTCGAAGCCTAAGAAGAGGTCAACACTAGTAGCCGAAGACGATGTGGACAATGGCGGGGACGACGAACAGAGACGGCTCGAAGAGTTTTTGGGACCCGATGTGAGTCGTGAAATGAAGTCATACGAAGAGTTATAGTGACATTCAATGATTTGATATTCAAAACACTAACTTAAACATAGATTTTGTTCAGAGCTTTTGATTTCATTCATTCATTTTTTATTGATATTTTATTGGAGAATAAATTGTTATTTAATAGCACACGTTTATCTCAAACACTATATTCCCTATGAATTCACTAAACAGTAGTGGCATCTCATCGCCGGTCGACAATCACTATACGCCTGTAGTCAACAATAGCCGAAACACATCCGCCTCGACGGCCAGTTCGTCCACATTCACCACTCAGTCAACGGCGACGCCTACCAGTGTTGACACGTCCGAAATGGGCAGCGAATCCGGTTCTGTAAACACCAAAACACATCGCAAAACCCAAAAAACCAAAACTAAAACCAAAAAGAAGTCGAAGCCTAAGAAGAGGTCATCACTAGTAGCCGAAGACGATGTGGACAACGCCGGGGACGACGAACAGAGACGGCTCGAAGAGTTTTTGGGACCCGATGTGAGTCGTGAAATGAAGTCATACGAGGAGTTATAGTGACATTCAATGATTTGATATTCAAAACACTAACTTAAACATAGATTTTGTTCAGAGCTTTTGATTTCATTCATTCATTTTTTATTGATATTTTATTGGAGAATAAATTGTTATTTAAATACTTAACAAAATTAGAACCTATTTCTCATAAAATATGTTATATTTAATAATATTTTGATAAAATAATCATTGATTAACAATTGATTAGTGATTTAATCAGAGAAAATATAGTAAACATTATAACCAAATAACAAATGCAAACATAAACGACATCTCTATTGGGAATAATATAAGAAACTTTTAAAAATGTCAAAAATTAACAAATAATTTGCGATAAAATATTGTAGTTGTGTTTAACGGATTACTTTTAATCTCATCCATTAGGACATAATAGGTGTCGATTAGTGGCTGTCTTTAGTTTTGGGCGCATTTCTTGGCCGACAAGATGTAGCCCTTGTTTTGCAAAATGCCTTTTCCCGCAACTATTATTGAATACCTCGCGATCCACACCCGCTTCCAGAGCTTACTCTCGTTCGGGTCCACCAAATGAGACATTATTTCATTGAATCGCGATTCAGGCAAGAAGTCTATGAGAAAACAATTTATATTTATTTAGAGTTATATATCGTGAGGCAATGTATGCTTTCGAGTGATTTTTAAAAATATATTTTATATTTTAATTATAATAAATGCCTAACCCTTGGGGTCGTTATGCGTAAGCAATTGAATGTTATGCTGTTTGGCGTAAGCGCTCATCTCTTCGGGTATTACACAACAGGCCTCGAGATTAATGTGATTAGTGGTGGGCTTTGATGTGTGCGCCCATTCGTATAGCGCCGCCAATTGGTTAGTGTCGAGATCGGAAACCCCTAACTGCGAGGCCCTGCCGTCCGTCACGAATGTCTCGGCACACGTCCAGAAAGGCTTGATATCGTCTAACGAGAGTTTTGTGGTCCGCGACGGCAACGACACGATCAACGAGTCGATCGACTCAATGCCCAACTGTTTGAGCACCACATCGACGCCCGACCGCAGCGATGGACAGTCGTGTCCGCAGTCGTCGAATAGAAACAGTTTGACTGTTATTCTATAGGTTTGCCGTTCGGCCGACAATACGGTCGCCGACGACGGGTTGTGTCCATTGGCCAGAAACGCCGTCTTAGTGTCCGGCTTGAGGTCACCGTTCGGTTGCCATTGGGTGACGATTCGTGTGATCCCTTCGGCAAACTGTGGCCACAAATACAAAACACATCATAATTTGTCACACATTTGATAACACGACAAATCAGGTGATGATAACTACCTCTTCGTTGGGATGTATTGAGACCTTTCGTTTGAGGTCTTCGAGAGACAACAGATTCCCGGAATCGATGACAACTGACTCGACGGTCGGCGGCAATCGTGCGCTCATTTTGCAGGTATTCTTCGGCTCACAAACGGCTGTCACTTAAAAAACCTGTCGTCGAAATAAATGGTCAAAAAAGTGGTCACAAAATATATAATTGTCTCGTAATTAAGACATACGCTTATAATTGGAGCGATCAGTTGATCCCGAAAGTGATGTTCAAATCACACAAATTTGTATCGATTTTTATAGTTTTGTGAATAAAAATAATATTTTTATTTATAAAATGAATGAATTGTTTAAATCAAGTGTTAATTGAATGAAATCTAAAACACAAAACGTTTAGCAAATGGTAGTGAAAGTGAAATCTCTCTCAACACGTGATGAATACAAATGAGTTGTAAAATACTGTGAAAATTAACGCTTAAAACGATTGCATAATTAATAATCAGTTTTTTCATTGAAAATAAAAATTCAATGTTTTTATCGCGATTTATAATCGCGTCTCAAATGTAAACAAATATCGCGTTTATATGCGATGATTGAGTGAATGCTATCATTGATATGTCATTCAATTGAATTGCAATTGCATTGAAATGCCATTTGTTGTCACATATCGTAGTTTATAGACAAGTTTATTCTGTAAATTGTGAGTACAGTCTTGTATCAACTTTTGTAGATTATTTACACGTGTTTTCGGTATAAATTTGTTACAATAACCACAAAACTGAATACTAAAGCCGTTATTTATGGCATAAAACACGTGCTGTGATTGCATTGAATATGATTTTTTGGACACAATTTAAAGGGATTTCTGATTGAATGAGTGGTGAAGTGATTGAGTGTTCATCTGAGGAGGAAGTGGCCATCAATGGGTCAAAGATCGGCACAAAAGACTATTGGGAGGAATGCTATGACAGAGAACTCGAGAATTACCACGAGTTCGGAGATTTGGGCGAAATCTGGTTCGGAATCAATAATAGCCGAAGAATTGTGGACTGGATTTGCGGTGATATCGGCCACAGAGACGGCTGCTGTCAAGTGCTGGACATCGGGTGCGGCAATGGATATGTGTTGATAGAGTTGGCCAAACGGCAGCGCTTCCAACGACTCGTTGGTGTCGACTATTCCTCCAATTCTATAGACTTTTGTCGCCAATTGTCGGCTAAAGAGTTGGCCGACAAAGAGGTTAACATTGAGTTCGAAGAGTTGGATGTATTGAGTGATGGCGTCGACGCGAAGAGCTGTATATTTGGCGCAAAGTTTGATTACATCGTTGATAAGGGAACGTATGATGCGATATGTCTTATGCCGGACGTAGACATGGATCAGATACGAGACAAATACCGCAATTTTGTGTTGTCTTTAATGTCAGACACGACTGTCTTTATACTTATGTCATGTAATTTCACGCGAAATGAATTGTTTAAACACTGGAGAGTCGGCCAGTGTTTGCAATTAGTCCACGAGATCCCGACGCCGACCATCAGCTTTGGAGGTCGTGTCGGCTCTCAAGTGACTGCTATTATACTGAAGAAATTGTGACCATTTTTTGGTCATTTATTTATTTTGTTGTAAAAATAGTTATATTTTTAATTCAATAAATATTTTGTAATTAATAATTATTATTAAAAATAATACCGTAATAATAATTAATTTTTGGATGTAAACGTACATTAATTAAATGTGCAAATAAAAATAATAATTTTATTAACTTTTAAAATTGGATTATAATTACAGCACAATATCAGTAATGAATTCTTGTAAATTGATATACACATAGAATTAGACATTCATATCATTTATTTCCTTATTTATTGATAAAATATTCAAAAACCAATGCATTTCTTATCAAAAAGAGTTATGATAAGCATAAAAGTCATTAAATTTATTTATATTTAAATGCAATTTAAAGTATGGATCAAATGTCAACGTCTTTTACCTTTAAAACTCATCCTTTCTCTTCACATGAATACATGTGTATAAGCGATGAGAGTCTGTATGACTGCACAGAAATTTTATGCCAAAATCACTTAATATGCGATCACTTTTGAGCGCAATTCGGTCTAATAGCGCATAATTTAAGCAAATTAATGAGTTATTTAAATATTACAAACAATTAAACACTTTACCCATCACTTCATTCTTGGATTTTTGGACATAATGTTTAACTTTATGGACTGCCGACGACCTCTTCCCGTACCGACCATTTGGATAGAATTGATTCTCAAACGATGTTTGTATTAAAAGAGCCAATAATAGCAAAATTGTTAAACCAGTCATTATTGACAATTAAATCTAATATACATTAAAATTAAAAATTATATTTCAATTATTTGACCGGTTTCATTTACACTAATTTATACTTACTTTCCAAAAATGATTATTTCAGACAATTCACAGGAATATTCTGACCAAATGGTATATTTGCAAAGTTGTCCCAATGGTTAAGACAACAATTTGATACAAAATGCAGTTATTTGTAATGGAGTCCAATAACTATACAATAATTGTTTGAATACCCGGTCATAAAACTTTGTGCACAACAATTATGGTCTGTATAGTAATTATGCTATTAATTCATCTATATTATAGTTTTCGCAAATTCAATGGTTGCCCACAATATTCATTACGATTATTCTTATGAACACAACATTATTAGTTTAAAAATGACTTTATTTGTAAGAATATTCTTATGCAACGAAAATAATTCTATATTATAGTTTTCGCAAATTCAATGGTTGCCCACAATATTCATTACGATTATTCTTATGAACACAACATTATTAGTTTAAAAATGACTTTATTTGTAAGAATATTCTTATGCAACGAAAATAACTTAAATGTGCTTTCGATGTGAAGCCCAACCAATTGTAGAGAATGTGCAGAATATTGCTTACAAATAGAGATTGTCTAACAATTTGTATCACTTTTTCAATTATATTCTTAACATTCATTTCTTACGCTAATATATTTGCTTTATTTTTAATTATCGCTAAATTGTATGGAAATGACAGCAAAATGATTAATTGCATGAATGCCAACGCTCTAACATTCAATACATTCCAAACTATATGGTGAATTAAATGTAAGATTAAAGCATCACGTTGTTAATAATGTTATAGACATATAATCGTTAGGTCAACACACTTTTCAAAATATATCGCATATCATATTAAACATGGTAAAAAAGGGATAAGTTACCCCGGGGTAACATTAAGATCATATTTCAGTTGCTTTGCACTGAATCAATGAGTCAGATGCGAAAAAAAACTATTAGCAAGGTTTTAAAGTTTACACAGTATAAACTTACAACATTTTAATGTTTTTTGAATCAATGATTTTGCGAACAAAAAATCATTTCATTTTCAATTCAAATGATGAAATGAAAGCAGTTTTAAAATCACTAGTAATTTATGACTTCTGTAAACTGTAACAAAAATTGTCGCGAATCACAAAACGTGTTACCAAAAGAGGGAACAATGAATGCCCCCTTTATATGCTATTATTAGTGGCATTACTCTCTAATAATACATTAAACACACAATGAAAATGTTATGTCTTCTATGAATAGTGCGAACAAAAGTCTGCTTTCGTTATAAACCGGACTTTCAATCAATAGTTTTGTCCAAAATGTGGGCACAATTGAGACCTAAACTCATTCTTCTTAAGGCAGCGAACAATGGCCGCAAAGATGTGGAGGAATATGAAGCAAAGGTTGACGATCGCAAACCTGACGCCAGCGCCGGTCACTTGTCTCGATGGCCAACCGCTGACCACTTGCCCGATATGGACGACAACATCGAGAACACAGAATTGGATCAATTGATTGCCACCGAATTGAAGTCAATACAAGTCCAGTGGACACGACTGANCAGCGCCGGTCACTTGTCTCGATGGCCAACCGCTGACCACTTGCCCGATATGGACGACAACATCGAGAACACAGAATTGGATCAATTGATTGCCACCGAATTGAAGTCAATACAAGTCCAGTGGACACGACTGACGGGCAGAAGAGTTTTGGCCGAAAACGGCAAATATATGGCCATTGATAGGCAACACGACTCCAATCGTCGATCTAACGTTAGTTTGAATCGCGACTCAACGGATCCAATGCCCCGAAGGAAGAGAAGCTTTGGTCCCAAACCGTCGGTGAATAACAGTCCGAACGGCAGTTCTAATGGCAGTCTTAATGGCCAACCCTTAGCGCCAATCAATGCTATAGTAATGGACCATAAGATGAATTACAAGAGCGGTTCCACTCTTATATCAAATGGACTTTATTTGAAGAGAAGTCTTCTTAAAGTGAAGATATCTGTGAAGAAATCGAGTGATATATCGGACAGCAGTGGCGGTGAAGACGAAGTCGACTGAACCCGTGTTTTTCAAACTTCACCTATAATTTCATATTTTTCTTATTAATTAATATAATTTTTTAATTAGTTTTATAAATAATCTTTTAATCCTTTAATTTCTATGAATAGTATTTAAATAATTTTTGGATTATAATTAAATTAGAAATAAAAATTTTAATAAAATTCACATTAATTTCACCGAAAATACTTAAGCCTAAACTTATTGCTAATTACCGTATAATTTACCGGAAATAAAAGTTCTAAAAATTGATTAAAAAGTTAATTAATAAAAGATCGTAATATAGCGTTTACTAATACTGCTGTTACAGTGGGTCAGTACTCAACACCCCCTCCCCCGCCATAACACCCCTTCAACTATAAACTATTTTAAGTGCCAAATGATATGTAAACTAATTGTAACCAATATTATTGTAATAACCGGAGCTTTGATTGCTTTTTCATGTGCTATAGTTTGCTTGTGTTTGTGTTGGACTCAAACCACGTTTAAATCATTGGATTTATTGATATAATGAGCGGCAATATAGGGGCCAAAGGGTCACCACATATGAGCCCAGACTACCCCTCGTGAGGGCCGTTCACAACAATCGTGACGAAGTGTTGCGCTTGTGATGAGTGAGTCAGCAGTGATTGATGTCTAACGCAGACTATAACCGGACTAACGGTTTGACAGCAATAGTCATAATCACACGATTAGTGCGCAAACA